AAAAGGTTTTCTCCTCAATCCAGAAATGTGGAAACAACATTCCACTTCGTTTAAATGTCTAAATGGATTAAATTGCATCTAGACGCAACAGTAATTCTAACATTTTAAAAAGATGTGCTTGATCCATGAGGCTATGTGCTTTTGTTTTTAAAACATAGCTCTCTGTTAACTAGAAAGGTCGTAGGGACTTTAGTCAGCTACAGTACTAGGGACAACAAGCAAATTTAAATTGAGGATTTTCTCTGGATAAAATTCCCTTACAAAACAACAAACTAAAAAAAAAAAAAAAAAAAAAAAACCTAACCAGTAGTTTTAAGCTATTCAGTGACAAAAACAGATGTCTTAAATTCTTTAGCTGTTTAAAAATATTTAACCTTCAAAATGGTTTTGAAATTACAAAAATTTAGTCCAAGGGAGAACACAGTACTAAAATTAGGCTTTCACAACCAGAAAAGTCAAAGGACTATGAAAATATTTCATCCATCTAAGTTTTTGGACCACTTCATATAATGAAATGCACAATTTGGCTATTTTAACCAGTATGCACAAATGTGTCAACAAAACAACCAGTCTGGTTAACTGGATCATTGCTGAAATCAATCTATCTAATCTATCTCTCCCCAACAACCTCATGAGAAAACACTTCACAAGTAACTTCAGAAACTCTTCAGTTGAACCAAGAAAATAAAATTTTGTATGGGAAAAAAAAAATCTAGTTCATGGAAATAACTTTTGTGGTTGCAAAAACAAGAGCTGTGAACTCTGACATACTTAAAGTAAAAAAATTCTAGTTTAATGGATCACAACTACTTTTACTATACAACTAAAGTATATGAAAAATATCTAAAGTCCTCCTGTACTTTCCTAAATTTGAGGTGGCCCCTAAAAACAAACAGAAAAAAAGTCATGCAAACAGAGATGCAGAGGATGGCTAAAAACTGATCATTTATTCCATGTTATGACAGTTACCTGCTTTGGTAAGTGGCTTCTTTGCTGGTAAAAATTGAAGTCAGCACCCTTAACAGTTTCCTTTACAGTTTCCTTCATCTTTCTTAAGAGAAACTTACTACTTGAATCAATTATGTCACAGAACTGTTACTAATTAATTGAAACTATTAGCACCTGTTACTTTAACTATTTTTGCTCCAAGTTACATCATGCAAATGCCAAAATACAAGTTGGCCTTACATCGCATGTACTCCAACTTTTAAAATAGCTGTATATCTCAATATGCAGTCAAGAGAGGTCTTTTTTCCCCTTTACACAGAATTAGAATTTCTCTTTACAATGCAGTAATGCTCCAAAACATACAACACACAAGCAGATCTCAGAATTTCAAGGCATAAAAACATCAAAAAAAGCTTTGGCATTTGATATTTGGACTAACTGGTTAACATCAGCACAAATTTTTGTGTGTGTGTGTGTGTCTTTTTCGTTTTTATCGGTACCAGGGATCGAACTCACGACTGCCTGCTTGCAAAGCAGGCGCTTATGCCGCTGAGCTAAATCCCCAGCCCCAAAAATTTAATTTTTTTAAAGAGCACCATGGAACCCTTAGAGCTTAAAATTCAATTTTTTTTTTTACCCAAAATGGCCTAAATAGTGTATTGGGAATTCATTTGTGTACCATGTAAGAACAAAGTTTTTACACATTCTGCTTAAATTTTAAATCAAAATGTTGCCCAAAGTGTTTGCTCTGCCAATAAACTCCAAGATATCCACAAGATAGTGCTCTTTAACAAAGATCATTTGATTTTGCACATCTTATGTTCCCCTACATCTAATGAACTGTATTTCTATTAAAATGCCACAAAGACATTTACTAACATTATTTTAAATATAAAGTCTCTGACAGTCTCCCACTGTTCAGACCAGAATTTCCAAAACAGTTCAATATATTAGCCAATTTTCTAAAACAAAAGGACCCCAGGGTAAGAAAAAGAAATCCATAAATGTAATCAATACATAAAATTAATGTTTAGCATAAATCTACACAAGTGCAGGCATCGTGGCTCACTCCTGCAATACCGGTACTTGGGAGGATAAAGCAGGAGAATCATCTCGAGTTTGAGGCCAGCCTGGGCTACACAGTGAGTTCAAGGCCAGCCTGCAATACATAGTGAAACTTTGTCTTAACAAAAAAAACAAACCAAAAAACCAACAACCAAACAATAACCAAAAACAACAATTAAAAAGAAATCTATACAAGTACGTACTTTAACACAAATCTCTGAATATTGCATCAGGATTGAGAACATCAGAAACTGTACACACCCAAAAGTAATATAGGTGGGTAACCAAATTGACATACCCTGTGAGAAGGAGGATCAAGGAGTGTTAATAAGGTTGGAAGTCTCTTTTGATACATAAGGAAACTGAGTCCTAAACGTTTAAATAATTGATTCCAGACCATGCAGTTAATGATAGATCTGACCAATCTGAGCCTCCTAAATTAAATCTAATGCTCTATTCAACCTAAATATACTAGTGGGCCATAAAATTCTAAATGTTCTTTAATAAAACTCAAAAGTCGTCAATGTCCTCATATTGCGGTAGTCTTTAATAGTTACGAGTATCCTTAATTTTTAAGCCATTTTTTTCAAATATCAAACATGAAAATAAACTCTGAAACTCTGTAACAGAAGTATTAAAGTTTTGAAAGATTGCTACCTACAGATTCAAATTTCCTTAACAACCATTCAGATGAAGCCAAATCTAACTCTTATTTTTTTTCCCTAATCTTTAACAACTATCTAGTTCCAATTCCTACATATTTTCTCAGGGGACAACCAGCATCAGGTAGACCCAATTGCCTCTAAACTTCCAACCTACCATAAGATGATCACACTCACAAATCCTTTCAGACCATTAATAACACTTACTAGGGGAAAAGGAACAAGTGTTTCAGAAAGAACACTCATCACCTCAGCTCTCGGAATCAAAGGCCTCAACCCCAAAATAAAACATTTCTACATTAATAATATCTAGATTAAAAAACTAAACTCTCCCTTTCACTAGTAAAAGGCCTACACCAGCCAACGAGGTAATTATATATATAGGAATTTTATATATATGACACAAAACATAAAACATATTACTTCTAAAGCATTCTTCCCAAATCAGTTACTTCTGCTGTTTACAAGAAAACTAAAACCAATCTGATGTCAACTAAAGATTACACTGTAAATCAGAATCAAAGTTGTCAGTAAAATTTAGCAAGTACTGTAATGTCAAAAAATGTGACTTTTACTGTAACCACAAAAATAACAGTGTAAATACCGTAACTAATAAGAAGTGTTTCCTCTCCCTGGTGTAAACGAGTGTTTCTCCAAAAGGAAAGGTCCTGGGGATATACCTTTTCCTTTTTCAAAACCAAGATCTGAGTTTAAGTCCAAATTGTTATCTGATCTGTCATATTTATAACAAAAAAAAACTTTTTTTCTTAAAAACAGGCCATGCAACCACAGACTTTCAAAATAAATTTCGGTTTGAAAAATATTATCTATTCTTTTCATGGATTTTGTCTACGACTGCCATAAAATGTACAAAATGCTCACTATGTCTTTGAAAGGCCCCCAAGTTTGGAGTCCTCACATCTGGTTACTGAGCAGAAAAATCCAAGGGAAAATCCCTAACAGGCCTTATACTTAACTTTTTCTTTTTTCAGAGTTGGAAATATTCGAGTTTGGAAAGTCCCAGAGCAGAGCGGTATCTGCACCACTAAAATCCAGCCTTGGGGTGAATTTAAACTGATAGGGCCCGGCCTACAAGAGCAGCAGCCTTATAGCTGGTACGGAGCAAAGCAGAAGGTGAAAATCAGTGGATCGAAGGAAGCAGGGGCTGCCACAAGGAACAGCTGGCATCCCCACGTCCCAACCCACCCACTGCACCGCAGGCCCCCAGCAGAGCTTCGCGCTCATCCTGGAAGGTGGCACTACAGAGCCACCTAGGAAAGATGGGCAATTCATTGCGGCTAAGTGAGACCGAATCAGCAAGCCCTACAAGGTGCAGCTGCCACACAGCTTGAAGGGAGTGTTGGGGTGGGGGTGGGAGTTCGCACCTAACAGGGCTCAAGGGTGTCCTGCGAGCGTAATGGCCAAGTGCAGGGCACAAGAGGAAAGAAGTCAGGAAGCACAGCCCAGAGTAGACAGCGGTCTGGCTCGAGAGAGAACGGAAGTGGACGAGACTGGAGAGGTCTGGGCCAGGGGGAAGCGAGAACACGGCTGGGAGACAGTGGCTCCTGGAAAGACTCCGGGAATTCGGGGGAAGAAGGAAAGAAAGGGTGGAGGCCGCGAGACAGGGAGAGGCAAGGGAGCCGAGCTGGAAGATAAGCGGGGGCGGGGCTAGGTGGGAGTTGTGGGCGGGGCTTAGGCAAAATGAGGGGGCGGGGCCATGGGGGGAAAGAAGGAGGCTGGGAGGGGGGCAAGGAGAGAATGGAGAGGAGGGGGCGAGAAGGAGGTGTGAGGGGGAATGGACAAGGTGGGGAGACACAGGGGACCAGAAGAGAGAAGCCGGGAAAGGGGAAACCAAAGCAGGATGGTGGGGCTACAGGAAGGGTAACAACGCGGAGAGGGGGGTACCAGGAGGGGAAGTAGAGACCAAGCTGGGGAAGCAGGAGGGAAGGAAGCAAGAAAGAGGTCTGGAAGATATCGAGCAGCGCGGGTAAGGGACCAGAAGAGGCAGGTGGGGGGTGCGAGGGGCGGAGGCAGGGCTGGAGAAGTGGAGGGTCGGGGGAGAAGAAGGGGAGCTAGGGCCAGGATGGAGGGAGTAAAAATGGGGGCCACCCGAGGGTAGAGCCGGGGGCAACTGGGGGGCTGGAGGGGCGGGGCCGGGAGAGGGGGGCGGGGCCGGCGGGAGCCGCGAGGGGTGCGCGCGAAGGGGGGTGACGGGGTCCCGGGACAACGCCAGTGCGGGGGACACTTCCAAGGGCGCCCCGCGGGAGAGATGAGATGGCGAGGGGCGAGGGGCGCCGGAGGGCAGAGGGCCTCTGCCAGCCGTACCTGTCAGGCGGATCTTAATGCTGGAGCCGTTCCTGCGCGTCCCGGGGTTCGACATCTCCCGCCAACGATCCGGTAGCCGCGGATCCAGCGCCGCCGCCGCCCCCCGGCCCGGCCCAGCCCCGCCGCCACTGCCTCAAGGTTACGGCTCTGGGCTGGGCGCCGGGGTCCGAGCCGGGACACGAACTCTGCGGCCCAGGCGTCTGGGCGACGGACGGTGGTCGACCAAGGCGGTCGGCGCTCGACCCGACGCCCCGACCCTTGCTCCAGCCAGCGGAGCCCAGCCGCGAGTCGCCGCTGCCGCCGCCTCCAAGTCTCACAGCCGGACGCTCGCCGCCCTCGCTGCTTCCGCCGCTGCCGCCGCCTCCCGGAGCTGCGCGCGCGCTCGCTGCTGTGCCGGCCCGGCCCTGCGCGCGCCCGCGCGTGCGTGCGCGCCCCCGAGGAGTACGTCGGGGAGGGGCGGGCCCGTTACGTCTCCCACCTCCCTGCCCGCCTGGTGTGCGCGGGGCCTGCAGCTAGTGCGCTGGGGCTTAGTCCCTGTTCTGCCCGCGCCTGACGGGAAGCCAAGAGGAGTTAAAGCGAAGCGAGTTTCACCCGACCTACTGCTATGTTCTCCGAGCGAACCAATTTACAGATGAAGACTTTAAGGTTCAGCAAACGGAATTGCTTTTCCAGGTCTCTGACCTCCTGGGAAGCCGTGGAAAGGGTTTCGTGACATTCCTGGTCCTCCTTTGCATAAGACCATGAGATACCCTTTTCCAGTAAAGAGCGTTTAGAGCCTGCAAGTTCAAGAGACACACAAAGAGACAAAGCCTCTTTGGTGTAACCTGTGCAACTAGAGTGCTCTGTCTACCCAGTAACAAAGTTACCAGAATCACAGGAAGTGCCAAATATGGACAAAGCAAACAAAATGTGCGAGATAAAGTTGAGAGGTAGTTACTTGCTATTAGGCAATCTGCATGTGATTTAACCAAGCAAAACAGCAAGAGGACTGGTCTTTTCCTGCCTTCTGCTAAATTTCCCTCCGCCCAGAGTTGCATATAAAAACTAAAAGCAATGCTTTATGCAGCTAACAAACTCATCTCTGACAGTTTTATAGAAAGGAAACAAAGTATTACAGCAGAAAACTTGAGTTTATTTAGCATACTTATATTTGACCCATTACCTAATTCATTTAATGTACAGATTCTTGGAGTGCTTTTATTTGGTTCGTGTCCCCAGGAAATCAGGCTTAAGGACACTGAGCCTTTCCAGTCTTCAAATCAGAACTGGCTAGCTAGAGCACTTGGCCGTACCTGCCTGCCTGCCTACCTCAGACTTTCTAAGTGATCATAGTTAAATTTCTGAGAATTCAAACAGTGTTTAATAAACACAGGGCAGTAGACCTGGAATCCAGCTCTGTTTTCATTTCAGTTGTCACAGAGAGTGAAGTCCCTGAGTCTGACTTCATTCAGAGTGTAATGCCCTCAAGTAACCCTGATGTCCTTCTCTTAGTCCACTCAGCGTTTCTTTTCTCTTTGTTCCGTTTCCCATTCCTAGGTATTTCTGACCTAGAAACCTTGCACTTCTTCACCTCATTGTTTGCTAACCTGCCTAGACATCTGGGCCTCTCTTTACTTGTTGCCTCAACCCATGAGAGAGTGCTTCTGGAGATTATTGAAAGTCATTTCCTTTGTTCATTGACTCATAGTTGCTGTTGTCACTTAACTAGATTCTCCCAACAGTGTTTCAGCACATTCCATAAGGACCTTCCTAATGGATGCTAACATTTTATTCATTTGGCAAATGTTGACCACCTACTGTGTGGCTAGGGACAAGGAACACAAATCAGTCCAAAACTCAATGAACTGAATGAAATAGGTATGAACAGCAGACTGTAATGTTACAGAGATTATAGAAGAATTCTACCTAAGATAGAAATGGGGACATCTAAAATGTCACAGAATACCTTGATCTAGGGATTACAAAGCAATGGTCCAGTTTTCTGGCCAAAGATATGGGGAAGGCATTATAGACAGAGGGGATGGCATAAAAGTGAATGCATTTCCCAGCCCAGTTTTCAGAGGATGTATAGTCACATAGCTGCTATACCATCTCACCCTTCACTTTACTCCACTGAAAATTGTTTAAAATGACAAAATATATTTTCCCACTTAAAAATCATCAGTCACTAGTTAAGGCTGTGAGCTGGCCCTCATTAATCATAAGATGGATGTACCCTGATACCTTTCTATTGGCTGCCAGATGTGTCAAACATAGAGCTATTTGGAACAAACAGATATGAAATGTAAAACAGTTCTACTGAGACAGAGATGGAACTCCATAAGTCCCTTCAAGTGTACTCTGCAATGGCTTTACAAACAGCTATTGCATTGCAGTTGGCTGCTGTGTAGTATTTGACAGCTGATTTCCTTTCCTAAATACACCACTTCTCTGTGTCAGTGTTACTGGATATTTGAAACATTTTCCAATAAAAAATAAATAAATAAATAAACCTCTCTCTTTAGGTCTGACCACAGTAATTCTTAACTCTGTTTTTGAATTGCAAATCTCTTTGAGGATCTGATAGAAACTCAGGACCCTTTTCCCCAGAAAAATTTAAATGTGCAAGTACCAAATTTTGCATCTGATTACAATGGGTTTATGAGCTCCTGAAATTAATTTGTGGGTCTTATAGGGCCCCCCAAAGCCCTAGAGTAAGAACTCCTAAAAGACAAATAACATTAGAAATATCCCAGATGTCTGCTCAATAGCGAGGATCGGAGTAGCTTCCTTTAAAGGTAACAAATGGCTAGAAAGGGGACAGCACTGACCCACATAGACACTTGACCCCAGCTTCACCACGTCACAGCTGGTGCTAAAAACAGTCATCGGAGTTCTCCAAGCCTCCCTTTGCTCATCTGTAAAGTGGAGATAGCAATGCTTTCCCTGAAAGTTATTGATGAGGCTTAAATTAAACCATGGATATAGATTTAACAGTCTAATGCAGCAGGCCCTCAGCAAATGATAGTTCTTATTAACACATGTAAAATATGCCGGGCAGACTTTACTCCAAATCTGACTAGTGCTTTTACCTGAGAAAATCTTTCAAGACATCGCATAGAGAATCCATGGTGGGGCTGGGGATTTAGCTCAGTGGCATAAGCGCCTGCCTTGCAAGCAGACGGTCGTGAGTTCAATCCCTGGTACCGATAAAAATGAAAAAGACAAAAAAAAAAAAAAAAAAAAAGAGAATCCATGGCGATATGGACAGCTGTAGCAAATGCCCCTTGAGACCTCATTTCTGTATCTGAGTGGTTGCCTCAGAGGCCAGTAGCCAAATCAGTTCAGCCTTTAAAGACTTTTTTACATTTGGGAGCCACTCTTCCTTTGTGTTTCACCTACATGTCAAAAATTTTAAGACAATTAGATGTACAAAATTGAGACTAGTTAGCCATTTATTTTCTCTTTTAAAATTTAACATTAGTTAATTATTTGTAGTGCTAGGGAGTGAACTTGAGATCTCAACACATGCTATGTTAGCACTCACCCACTGATCTACATGCCAAACTCCTCATTTATTTATTTTCTTATTCCCAGAGGCTTCTGGAATCTTTCTCTACATTACAACCTAAATATTACCAGTATAGAAGATTAGTGATATAATTTATCAGATTTATTACTTGTTCTTTAACTTTCACTGGAGTTTGTATAAAACAGACATTTCAATTTTATTTTGGGAAGACCCACACAAAGCATATAATTAGACTTAATGGAAGAAATATTTTAGGGGCTATTTTTGCATGGCAAAAGCAACAAAACTGAATATTTATATATAACTAATCAAAAGAGAAATTAAAAGCATGAACAAAGAATGTGATGCATTTCCCTCAAAGTGGTGGATCTATGATTTTTAAGCTGAAATTTTTATTAACTCTACATTCACAGTTAGTTGTAAGAAATAATATAGAGATATTCCTTGTTTTATAGTTTAGATCAAAATGTCCCTTCAAAGTCTCATATATTAGAATTAGTACTTTTAGAAGGTGATTGTGTTACATCGATACCATACTCATCAATGGATCAGACCACTTAGGAGTCCACAGCTGACGTGCTGCTGGAAGGTGAGGCCTGATTAGAGGTGAGTCATGGGATGTGATCTGGGAAACTATAATCTTTTCCCTAGATTCTCTCTTTTCTCTCCCTTTTATCGATCTGCTTCCTGGCTGCCATAAGATAAGCACCCATCAACCCCTGTGCCATTCTGTGTCTGTCTTAGAACCAGCCAATTTTGGACTGACCCCACTACAAAACCACAATCCAAATAAACCTTTCCCCCTTTTAAATTATGGGTGTCAGATATTTTGTCCCAAAGATAGAAAGATGACTAAGATGCTTTCTACCCTCTTTCCAGTTTCTCTCAATGATAATATTTTATAAAACTATTATATCACAACCAGGATACTAAATTGATATAATCCAATGATCTTATTCGTATTCTTCTTGCTATGGTTTAGATTTAAAATGTTCTCCCAAAGCTTCCTATGGTCAGAGGTGGTGCTTTTGGAAGGTAAGTAGATCATGGGACAGTACACTCACCAGCAGACTCACCAACAAACCAAAGAAAATCACAAGAACTGATGAATTCATAATTAAATGTGCTATTAGGAGCTGGGGCCTTGGAAAAGGTGGGTTAATAGGGACATGACCTAGAAGAGTACAGGCATGTACCCAGCTCCTACCTTCTCTTTCTGCTTCCTAGATGACTTAAGTTGAACATCTTTCTTCCAAGAAAATAGCCCCTTCCGCCATGATGATCCTGTTTTAGAGCCAGCCAACTATGGACTGAACCCTCTAAAACCATGTTCCAAAGTAAATCTTTTCTCCTTAAGTGGCAAGTGTCAGGTATTTTGTCCTAGTGACAGGAAAGTAGCTAATATATCCCCTAGTTTTACTGTAGTAGTGTGTGTGTCTAAGTTCCATACAGTTTTAACATGCAGAGATTCATGTGTTTACCACCACAGTTAAAATACTGAACCACATGAATGCTTCATGTTGCCTTTTTTTCTGATATTGGGGATTGGACCCAGGGCCTTCACACTAAGCCCCTTCCCATTTTTCATACTTTTGAGACAGGGTCTTACTAACTTGTTAAGTTGCTCTGTGGGGGGTTTAAACTTTCAAGCATTCTGCCTCAGCCTTAGAGTTCTGGAACTACAGGAATGCACCACCACACCTGACTGTATTACCCTTTTATAACCCCACCTTGGAAGAACCGCCAATCACTGTTTTACCCTCCATTTCTAAAATGTTATTTCAAAAAATGTTATACAATTGAGGGCTGGGGATTTAGCTCAGCGGCATAAGCACTTGCCATGTAAGCAGGCCGTCGTGAGTTTGATCCCCGGTACCAAT